TGTAGGGATTACAGGGATAGCATCTTGATACTTTAGCTTATGCCTGTCATCATGGGAATGAAACATTTTTAACTTGAAATGGTTTGCTTCAATTAAACATTTTCTAAATGCCAATGCAATTTTCCAACTCCAAGAAAACTCAGTCTATGACATAGAAATTGCTGTGAACAGAGCTGCATGGAAGGATTAATCAACAGCATTGTATGTCAGTCTCTAAACAAGGCCAAACACTGAATCAGAGTTAGATTCCTCACGTGCAGTTATACCCAGTTAATCTGCTTGAAAGCAGCAAACTATGTAAATCTACTTATATTGGTGAGATAAACATTACACTAACCAAAATGTAACAAGAATCGTTGTTACCAACACTTTTTTTTTAATTACTGTGCTTTCCTACAACAGCTCAAATATTAGTTCAGCATCTATTGAAGAGACCCAATTGTTACTTCATTGTAAACCTGCTACTTGCTCCAGCCCCCAGACATCAGGGATGAGAAAAAGTTGGCTCAACACAGTGATTTAAAATTGCAAATCAATTGTCTATAGCAGCTCTATAGATATAAAAAGCAAAGGGAATGGACAAGCCCAGTTTTCCAAATACCAGCTTTACATAGGCGTAAAATTATGTTGACTTCATTGTATCTACTTTGGATTTATACAAGCATAACTGAAAGGGGAAAATGCATGCTCCCTCTGTACATTGGTTGTACTGAAGACAGACCTAAGAGTCCACAGCAGAAGGTGAAGAGGTATTACCATTTACTATACAGGCAGTCCCCGACTTACGCGGATCCGACTTATGTTGGATCCGCACTTACGAACGGGGCTTTTCTCGCCCTGGAGCTCACGGGCGGCGGGTCGCCACCCGTGTCCTCCGGGGCGAGAAAAGCTTCTCCTGGTCTCCCTGGTCTGCTGGGGGGGTCCAGCAAAGCTGCTGGACCCGCCCAGCAGACCAGGGACACCCGAGCAAAGCCACTGGACCGCAGGCTTTGCTCGTTTGGCTGGGGGCACAGACAGGCCAGCCGCGTGCAGGCC